TGTGAGCATTTTGGTGTTTTCCATTTCATTTCAGCTATGTCCATATCTTACTTCTGTTTGATTTCTGCAGATTTTCTTGCTCAATGTTTGTGAATATTGATGGTTGTGGCTGTGACTAAATTATAGGCTTAATCAAGAAGCAAAATCCAATTTGTGATTAACCAAAATTCATTGCAGATAGAAATAAAGTAGTTTATAACCATCCAATCAGGCAACAGAAACAATCATGTAGTGGTGACTGATCCCACAGTTGCAAGAGCAAACTCTGAATACTGATGGCTGGATTAAAAATCAATAAGTCTACTAACAGAGCGAGGTGCTATTCAGCTTGACTGAATGAGTACTTAATACAGTTGAGTTTGTAGGCTTAAATCTGTGTGTGTAACACGCTTGCCACATGCATCTTTGTTCCTCAACTGGTGCCGGACCAGGTAAAGAAGCTCTAGTCTACTACTGCTTCTAAGGTAATGGATGGCAATGTTTCTAGATGCATCGTTTTCCTGGTTTAATCCCCAGAGATGACATGCAGGCTTGGAACAGATGTTGCATTTGTCCTGGGATCAGCTGTGCCCGTGTTTGTTCCAGAACAGAGAAGTCACAGGATCGGTGTGTACACACATTGCCCTTCCAGTCAGGAATTAGCAAGCGGCTGAATGCCCTGCCGCTTTTCTGCCATTGATCCAATGATGCAATCCCAGGACAACTGTTCAGATGCACTTTCCTAGGACAAACTATTAGCTCTTATCCTGTGAATCTTTTCAGGGTTTGTCTCGGGACAACAGACATAGACATCTGAATGATCTCTTTGTTCCAGGAGAAAATGGTTTCTCCCGGGACACATGCGTCATCTTTTTGTAACCCCAGAGACACTTAGCAGAAGGGAAGCACCTGTGACTGATTTCTGCAGGATGACTGACATTAGCATCAGGTTTTGAATATTAGGATGATTACTAGCTTCTGAAATTTTCCTGAACAGAGATACTCATTAGCAAGAGACCTTGAATCCTTTCAAGTTTCCAAATCAGCCTCTGAACAACTTCCACGTTTTAGGTTTCACTCTCCTTTGACTGACTTCTATTATGAAGACTTCCTTCCCTTCTCAAAACAACCCAAACAACAAGTATATACACAGCTTGCAGGTGCAGGCTTTCACTTAGGAAGTTTCCCCTTGTGGGTTTTGCTGGCTGCAGCTGGCTGCCTGATCACAGCCGGGAATTTCTGTGTCAATGCCCAAAATGTATCTAACAGCTGTGTCATCCCACAGACTGTCCTGATTTCTATTAAATAATTTTAAAAGGCCATTCCTCCCACTCCCCACCCCTTAAACTTCACAAGAAATGCAATTTAATCAGGTCACTCTAAACCAAAGCACTGGTGATTAAGATGATGAGTATTTTATGACATCTCCAAAAGCAATTGTTTGCCTCCCTGGATGAAGTCAATGGCAGCTGTTAGGTATTGAGCACTTTTGAAAATCACTCAGGAGAATTTTTTTTTGCAAAAATCTTGTTGATCTTATAAAAGATATTTCTACCATGAGTCCTGATTGCCTTTTCCTCTAAACCAGTATGGCTATAAGCTGGATAGCTTTGAAAATCAGGGCATTTGTTCAAATGCATTAACTGTGGATGTAAGAGCTTTGATAATCTTGGCCCAGCAAAACATCTTGTGAAGGTGAGGGAGTTTCCTAGGAGTGCTGTCTTGTGATACGCAAACCCTGGTGTGACAAAAAACTCTAGGTGGCTGAGTTCGGGCCTTCAAGTCTTGCAGCGAACACTTTGTGGGGGCATAGTGTGAGCAAGCTTTGATATAAATATGTTCTGCAAATACAGGCAGTCCTTGACTTACAGCATTTCGAGTTACAGCGTTTCACACTTACATCGTTTATAAATTGACACCTTGTTTCAACTTTCTGACATCAGT